CATGCTGCTGCCACCATGCAGGGTCCATATCAAACAAGCACACACTGAAGAAACACATATAAAGGGAATGTGCTCCATGGCGTTTACAGTACATGCGACATATCAGGCGAGAAAAAAGGCAGGTACAGACACAAGCTGACACTTGATAGAATGGTGCAGGAAGTCAATGGTTTTCTGAAAAGGCTTTTTGGTTAGATGCCTTAAATAAGGTCTGTGGTTAACACAAGCTTCTTCCACAACATAACATATGTCAGTAAATGGTGGTTGCATACAAGTGTCTAAATGAGACGACTCAACATCATCACGCCCAACATTAGCCGCCTTTAGCTTAGCGGTGGTGATGTGAAGTCATGTGACCGTGCTTACAAAACGTGTAAGTATCATAAAACGTGTGTTTGCAATATATTTCATTTTCTGCAATATTCAAAAATCCAATGGAAAAATCCCATTGGCTTTTTGTGGAAGGAGCATGGATGTATAATAAGAAGTGGATACAGCGTGGGAGGCGGGGCCTCGTTCATTCCTATGAGAGCTGCTCATTGGCGCATGAAGACAAAATGGCCTAACTTTAGAGAGAGCGAAACGTCACGAAAGTATTGAGATAATCATATAATCTGTTCTTATTGTGTATCCATGGTAAGGTAAAACTCATGTTAGATCCTCCAGAAAAACGCGGGCAAAAATCCTTGATTATGCGATTAAACATGCGGGNCGGCTCACTAGAATGAATGGAGAGAGAAAATAAATCTAGATTAAGCTTTTAATGCATTTTACAACTTTAAGGACCAAATGATTCGAATAAGGTCTATAAGATAGTTCATAATGGGTAGTTTATTTAGTTAAAAAAATATTATCCACCGATTTATAGACGTCTCTTTCCCCATGTTAGTCAATGGGAAAAAATTGTTTTGGGTCGGGTGACGTCACGGAATGATACGGAAGTTGCAGTACCGCTGTTTGGACACAACGAATATTGGCACAGAGTCCGGCGCACTTCCTGGGGGCTTGGGAAGGAGCCCTTGCAAGCTAACTTCCTGTTTAGCCTACA